GAAATTCGAATCTGTAATCAAAATCTGCTGAATAGCTCGAAATCTGCTGCTGAAAAACACGAGATTTCTGGCATCAAAGTTTTTGCCAGAGACTCTAGAGCTGAGTTTACGCTGATTCTTAAAAGGCGATCCTGGCGGCGATCTTGGCGGCGATCTTGGTACTGTGCTTGTCTACGAAACGGATCGATTTCTTTGTAGTGAGTTCGAATCCCCACTTGACAAATTTCTTGTTTTTATTTCTAAACCCACCAATGACTTGGCGACGGATCCTCTGTTTGTGATGTTCTTTGAGAATTGGTTGTTCGCCACTTGCATTCTTTGCTTTGGTGCCATTTTGAGTGATTGCGGGAGTTCCGGAGAGAAAAGTTTTACCTGGAAATTTGGATCTTGGTTAAGAATAGAGGACGGTGACAGATTTCGAGGAAAGATTGATTGATAAGAAAGTTTATAAGATAAGATAAGAAGGAAAGTTTCAAGAAAATGCGGGAACAGAATCGATCTTTTAACAAGTTATCAAAACATTAAGAGTTGTTCTTAAGCTCTTTTAACTTTTATTTACTAAAAAAATTTCAGTTCCCGTTTTTCAACGATTTGAGAACAATGGAACTGTTTCTTATCGGGTTTTCCAAAAAACGAGAACTGAAATGATTTGGAAAAAACGGTGTTTCAGCTAAAACGCAAGAGAACGCAGAGATTTGGAAGTGAAAGATTTTTAAATGAAAGATTTTGAAGTGAAGCTTTGAAAGATTTGGAGAAAGAATTCTGGAAAATCATTGGAATCAAGTCATCAGAATCAAATCATCAGAATCAAGCCATTGGAATCAAATCATTGGAATAAAATCATTGGAATCAAGTCGTCGGAATCAAGTCATTGGAATCAAATCATCGGAATCAAATCATTGGAATCAAACCATCGGAATCAAGTCATTGGAATCAAGTCATCGGAATCAAATCATCGGAATCAAATCATTCAATCAATCATTCATTCATTCATTCATCCATTCATTCATCCAATCAATCAATCAAAATCAAATCATTCTCAAGAACTATTCCAGAAAAAGCTAATTGAATCCAGACGAAACTCAGATTTTGAACGATTCGAATCCAAAACTGAAAGGAAAAGCTAAATGAAAACGGATAAAGAAGAGAAACTGGGACAAAACTGGGACAAATCAAGGGAAAATCTCCTTTTAAAGAGAAAACGTGGTTAACGTCAAATGATTGAGATGTTTTGTGCGGGTGAGATTCGGATGGACTCTCTTGTCCCCTCGTCCACTCCCCCAAACAAAATCCCGCCGCGAACCAAACTGCAACACAGAAATCTGGCTTTTTGCCAAGTCTTGGGAATTAACTTCTTTATAAGTTTCATTAAAGGCAATCTTGAACGTCAATCTAAAATCGAAAGTCCCAAAATGGTGTTGTTGAATTGTTGAAACAATGATTCTTAAAGGCTATACTCCATAATAATGATATTTGTAGCCGAAAAATGGCTCAAAATCAGCACAAGCTAGGATTTTTCTTAGTTACAAGAAAATAAATATCAACAATCGCTTTCCCGACCCCGAAAACCCATGGGTACAAACTTTTAGCTTCATATCTCATCTGAGCAATGTTTACAGAACAAAAGAAATTCTTTTGTCAAGGGACGCGAATAGTCCCTTGTGCGGCCGTGTAATCGCTCGCCGTCTGGCGCACGGCGTTTACACAAGAGACGTTTACATGGCGCTTTTCAAATGTCGATTGATTCAAATTGATTTATGTGGATGGTCAAAAAAACAGTCAAGACTTTTAGGAGCGATCGCGGGCCGCTGCCCAGAAGACTACGCGTGCTACAATGTCGGCGGCATCAACGGGTGCTATTGTCATGACACTGTGACGAATGCGACCGAGTGAGTGATATTTCCACAAGACTCGTGAACCAAACTAGATCTGTGCCCTCAGCATCTCGAACACTCCGCAAGCACCGCTTTTTCTATGATTTGTTTAGTTGCTATGAAAGTGGCTTCGGAGGTGGTATTCCGATGGTGTGCTACCACAGACGCCCTCATTGTGCCCGCACGTGCGGCTGGTGTCTTTAAACGACCGAACACTCTTCTGCGAAATTAGATGCCGATTTTTTGAAATAAATAAGCAAGCAATTTCACGTATCACCCGAATCACAAATGATATTGTGGTTTGATTGAGCACTATTTTTTATGAACAGGGTAACTAGGTAACTAAATCGGAGGCAATTTATCAGCTCTAGGAAATGATTACGGAATTATTGTCTTCATTTCTGGCCAAACTGGGACGCAACCGACTTTTCGACCTAAAAGAAGAATCCAAGAAATTTGCACACACAATCATTCAAAAATTACAAATAAATTCAATGTCGACCAAAGCAAAAAAAAGTTGTACGGTCTCTTTTGGAGATTCCAGTTTTCGAGAAGCTTTCAAGAACAAGTATAGCCGGCCACTTGCGAAGCAAGTACGGAAATGTGTTGAGATGAAAGGCGGAAATTTCGAACATTTGCTATAGTTATTCTTCTGGTTATATACAGTGCGTTTCAAATTCTTAAACGCACCCTCTAAAATAGCGGATTTTGCATTTTGACCACCGCTACAACTATTAATCTTTTTCTATTAGAAAGAGCATGTCTTAAAACCTAAATAGCACGAAAAAGAAGCATACTGTAAAAAGTAAAAATTTTCAAAATAGAAACTTTTTGCTAAATCAACCGTTTCAAATTCTTAAACGCACCCGCCTTTGCTGTTGTTATTTGAAATTTTTCGTTTTGTTGTGCATATTTTTTTATTAAATTTATAATTTTTGTTAATTTTCAGGTAAATGGCACACGGAAAGCTGCTCACGGATTATGAGAAAGGCCAGATTGAGGCCCGTTTGAGTATTGGCGACTCAATAAGGAAAATCGCAAAAAATTTGGGCCGATCCGACTCTGCCGTGCGAAATTATATAAAGTCCGAGTTCGTTTCTACACCAAAGAAGAAGCCAGGACCAAAACCAAAGCTGACACCGCGAGCTAGACGCCATATTGTGAACAACATCCAAGGAAAAACGATCAATGAAGTGAAAACGGAACGGAAAATCGACTCTTCGAAGTCGAAAATTTGGCGAGCCATCAAGGAAAAACGCACATATCGATCAACAATTATTGAACATGCAACCGGTCGTGAAGCTTTTGCACAAGAAAGCCCGATTGGCCTTCGCCAAGACTCATATGAATCAAAATTGGTCTATGGTTGGAAAGCCGCTTATGTTTTATTATTTTTTTGCGTTTAGGTGATCTTTTCCGATGAGAAGAAATGGAATTTGGATGGCCCCGATGGCGTTGGCTACTATTGGAGGGATCTTCGACGTGATCCGATGGTGTTTGGAACTCGAAACTTTGGCGGTGATTCTGTGATGGTTTGCGCCGCCTTTTGTGCCGACGGAACGGTCGCTCTGAAGATGGTTTGGAATCGGATGTCTAGATAGATATCTTGAACAATTGCTTGTTGCCGTTTTTGCTCCTAAATCCAACCGTTCCCGATTTGTTTCAACACGACAACGCGTCAATTCATCGAGCCGGAGACACCCTAAACTGGCTGAACAGCAACAACATTGCAACTTTGGACTGACCCGCTCAGTCTCTTGACCTCAATCCGATAGAAAATTTATGGGGAATACTTGTCCGAGCTGTCTACAAGAATCATCGTCAGTTTCAAGACGTTTCTGCACTTAAAGCAGCAATTTTTTCGGCCTGGAGCGATCTCGACGTCTCTGCTCTTCAAAACCTCATCAATTCAATGCCAGACCGCATTTTTCAAGTAATTAATCGTTCTGGTGCGTGTACAGATCATTAGTTTTGATTTTTAATTTTTGTCGATAAATAAAAATATTTTCATAGTGCGTTTAAGAATTTGAAACGGTTGATTTAGCAAAAAGTTTCTATTTTGAAAATTTTTACTTTTGACAGTAGGCTTCTTTTTCGTGCTATTTAGGTTTTAAGACATGCTCTTTCTAATAGAAAAAGATTAATAGTTGTAGCGGTGGTCAAAATGCAAAATCCGCTATTTTAGAGGGTGCGTTTAAGAATTTGAAACGCACTGTATATATTGATTAACATTGTTATACATTGTTATTCGTTGCTCTTACAAGCTTTTTTAAAGCCTTTGATCTATTTGGAAAAGTTGCGGGAACTTTTGCCGCACCTTATTGATTCTCTAGCCCCTTGATTGATGATGTGAGTGATGCCGTACCGAGTAGTGTCGAGTACGTTTAATGGATAAGGATATTTTACATAACTGAAGACAGTGTAGCTTTCGTAGCGACTTTTGGGACAATGTCGAATAGTAGACTGCAACGGAGAACGGGAAGAAACTCTCCAAGTACCCTAAATGGCATGCTTTTTGCGATCGAAGGTAAAGCAATCTCTCGAATTGCTTTACCAATCTCTCGAAATATGTGATCAAAAGTTTATCATCGTAAGTGGCGTCGGTAATGGGCTGCGATTGGTTCCACTTGATCTCCCAGGCGGTCGGCAATCAAGGAAGCGTCGACACGTAGGCATCGATTTAATTTAGGCCTTGAAGAATCCTTGAAATTAAGTCGCTTTCAGGTCTAATCTAGCATTCTTTAAATTTCCTAATGAACCGTTTTAAAGTTTTATTTCTATCTCAGATTTTGCCAAGCGAAAAGCCAACGAATATCAGCACCTAAATAAAAATTGAACCTTGCCAGCTTGGCTAGTGATGGCTGAGAAAAGTCCTGACACAGCATTTATTGTGATTGTCTTTTCAAAAACGTGCCTCGTTCTGAAAGCGTTTTTTTTTCACTTCAAAGTTCACTTCAAAATTGCTCTGGCTTGTCTTTAAGCAACAATTCGACTCCAATTATCCCAGAAAGCCTCCTTCAAAACTGTTTCCCCGATCACAAATCAATCCTTTTACTGTTCCACTATAATGTAGGGAAACGTTTCGCCACAAACCATGCAAAGCTTTCACAAATTTCCGGTGATCCGATGGTTGTTGAGCTATTCGACGAAAAAGACAGATGCCCAAAAAGCCATTCGATTTGTGTCGAACAATGGATGGCTGCCAAACTTTTCGTACTCAATATGCCCGCAAACATCGACTCGAATTCATTCCGTGAAAAGCAATCTTTGGCATCCAATGTCACAACGATAAAAGGTCCGCCTGGTGACCACATTTTGTTGTATTCGCCATTTGATATGACCCATCCGGCTTCGCTCGTATTTCTGTCGTCGCTTTTGATTGTTGATGGATTTACAAGGTGATTTCTTTTTTCTCGAACCAAGCTCGTGCTTGCCACATTTCGCCAAGTGACTTTGTTTTACAATAAGCCCAAGAACAGATACAACTATTCACCGGCACGGCCAAAAAACATCTGCGGCTATGCATTGACCGACTCAGTAGTAGCGCGGCGAGAGCAATATAATTCAATTGTAATTAGCTTTTTGAGTCAATTGCACTAGCAAAACATTGTCTTTTTGTCCGTAAAAGCCCATTTTCAACCTCTGCAAAGCCTGTTGTGAGAAGTTTTCTAATGTCAGAGTGAAAAAAGATCATCTTGTTAGCTTTTTCTCAAGTTCTTATAAACTGTTCTTAAGTCTTTTCAAAGTTTAGATAACCAAAATGCTACAGAGCTTGGAAGAATCTAATAGTAATGCCTGCCTGCCATTACCTGCCAATGAGAGATTACACATTCACATCTACAAAAATAACATCATTGATGGATTTACAAGGTGATTTCTTTTTTCTCGAACCAAGCTCGTGCTTGCCACATTTCGCCAAGTGACTTTGTTTTACAATAAGCCCAAGAACAGATACAACTATTCACCGGCACGGCCAAAAAACATCTGCGGCTATGCATTGACCGACTCAATGACTCTTGCCAATTTCTTGATTTCAACTAATAGCAACTAGTCAGTGTAGCTTTCGTAGCGACTTTTGGGACAATGTCACAGTTTGCCAGAGGGAAGATGAGAATGGAAGTGAATGGAAAATCGACAACCTGTTTGGTACATCATTTTATAGATCCGAGTGGTCGACTGGTCACAGAGTTCTTCATAAATTCATGTTCCCGCTGCTCTAATCAGAATTATATTGCTCTAGTAGACAAAGACAAAAAAAATCCGGTGTTTTTCGTGAAAAATGGAGTAAAAAGAAGTGAAAAATGAACAAAAAATGCACGAAAAGTAAATTAGCATTTCATATTTTGATCGTGTATCCACTCGATCACTCGGATCACTCGGATCTAATGATGTACCAGGCAGCTTGTTGATTTTCCACATTTTCACCACGATCGATCGTGCCGGTGATGCTTCCGCAGTCTACACTCTGTACAGATCTGAACAAAAAGAGATACAGTAAAGCCTCGTTAACAAAAAGCTGCATAAAAAGGGTTTTCGGGATTCCAGTTGACTATTCCAGAGCTTTAAAAAGTTTTTTTGGATCTCTTACGTTATTTGTTAACCAGGCTGCAGCCAAGTTTTTTGCTTTTCTAAAAAAGTTTTGTACTTGAAAGAATTCACCTTTTTCGAGCACTCCAAACCGTTGATTATTTTGAGAATTTGAAACTAATTGGATCTTTGAATCGAATGAATAATTGCAAATTGAATAATTCTTTGAAGAATCGCATCTTTGGGTCAATCAAATCTTTCGAACACTGACTTTATTGTTACACTCATTTCGGCACTTTTGCTTCATCATGGGAAGGCGTAGGAAAAGATATGGGCAATGTTAGAGGTGGTTGAGGTAGCCATGGGAGTGGGGACGATCGAAAGAACTCCGGTGGTGCGTACGAAGAGCTAAATGTGAGCATTCACCTGAGAAGCAGGAGGCAGCTGCTCACCAAATTTTCAAGCTTTCCTCCTCCCACATCGTTTGCTTTGCCAGCTCCTTGAGGAACCCTAAAAGTGAGGTGATCACTCGCGTTTGGCGACAAGAAAATTCACCCTCTAGCCCGTTCGTCAGATCCAAACACGCGCTATAATTTGGTGACCCCTCGATGGCGTTGTAGTCGCTCGCTTCGCCGCATACCGGGCACAACACCCGTTCCTCCTCCACATCGGCACCAATTGGGGCCATCACCCGCCAGAGACACCCGCGGCACAGCGTGTGCCCACAGAAGAGGACGAATGGCCATAGGTCTTTGTTCGTCAGCGTATCTGGAACCGGAACCAATTCGTAAATTTCCATTTCCCAAGACTGCCATTTCGTAAATTTTTTCGAGGCTTTGCTTTTAGTATTTGAATCATATCGGAGACAATCGAAACACCCAAGGTTCGACGGAAGGATTTCAAAGAAAGATTCATTTTAAATGCAAAATTTAGCATACTCAGTCTTCAGGAAACTCTAGATGTGGTAAAAAGTCAAAAGTAGCAAAAAAAGACGATGTCTGAGCTAAATAAGTACAAATCTATATCGAAAACAAATGAGACTTTTTGGTTAGCTAAATATAAATTTTGCTTCGAATGATTCCCATTCGACTGCGACATATACAGTAGTGGTCAAAAGTTTGGACCCATTCCCGCGCGCTAGCAAAGGATGGCTACTAAACCATAAGCTTTTAGTATATTGTACTCAAACCAGCATTTTTATTTCACTTTCTACTCTACTTTATATTTTGTTGCTCTTTTACTCAAGCGTCTAATATTTTTGCGTGATTTTCCAATACGGTTCCAATACGGTTTTTATTTTGATCTAATACGGTTCCAATAAGGTTCGGATACGGTTCCACACTATGGTTCCAATATGGTTCCAATATTGTTCCAATATGGCTCCAATTATGGTTCCAATATGGTTCCAATATTGTTCCAATATGGCTCCAATTATGGTTCCAATATGGTTCCAATTATGGTTCCAATATGGTTCCAATATGGTTCGAATATGGTTCCACTATGGTTCCAATATGGTTCGGATACGGTTCCAATATCGTTCCGATATGGTTCCAATATAGTTCGGATCGGGTTCTGATATGGTTCCAATATGGTTCCAATATGGTTCGGATAGGGTTCCAATATGGTTCCAATATGGTTAGAAGATTTAAAGACCGCGCTGGTAGCACAAATGAAGGCTGGTATGAGCTCGAGAAAGGCTGCTGCCATGTTTGGCTTGACCGATTTAGCAGCCCGGAAGGACTGCGACATACATGTGATCGGTGATTTTGAACGAAACGATTTCGCTAGCTGATTTTGAACGAAATGAATATTTACCTTTATTTTACTGGGTTTTATAAATAATTTGTTTCTACGTTTCTATGTTTCTACACACTGTTAAGCGTGCATTAAGACGTTATTTTATTACCAAAAGACCGATAGGTTACAAAGTTACTGGAGCAGAGTTGTGACTGAAGCAGGAATGGGCTGTCCACCACCTAGACCTATGGCTTTGGCTCCGTGTCGGAGAGCTTGCAGCACACAGAGGTGCCCATCATAAAATTGAGCAAATAATTTTAAAAAACCCGGTGAAATAAACGTAAATATTGATTTTATTCAAAGGCGGCGGCCATTATATACCGTATTTTCTGTAATAGTAGTGCAGTCTATAATAGTAGTGCCGTCTGTAATAGTAGTGCAGGCAGGAGGGGGGTTGAAAAAATAATAGACGTTGCCTGGAACGCTCCCTTTAAAGCAAATATTAGAGCACAATATGAACAATGGATGGTCAACGGATCAAGGCCTCTCACGAAAGGAGGGAATCCCGCTCCACCACCGATGGAAATTTACCTTACATGGGTTTGGAACGCTTGGAATGAGCTGCCGAAGCATTTGATCATTCACTCCTTCAAGATTTGTGGAATTACTACAACCACTGACGAATCAGAAGACCACCTTATCCACTGCTTCAAAACGTCTCTCGGATGCTCGAGCAGAACAAGCAGCAAATGAAATCAACGATCATCTTGCCAACATTGTTTTGGATGATAATGGTTATGATAGTGATGTATCTATTGATCTTTGTTAATTGATTTACCCTGATACTCTTTGTTTGATTCTAAATAAATATATAAAAACAACTCGATTCACTTGGAAGAAAGGGATGACATACGTACATGATACCTATTATTATTGCCTGGTAAAGGTATGGATCTAGTGAAAAAAAGAAAACTCTCTAATAGTAGTGCAGTCTGTAATAGTAGTGCAGGCTGGAGGGGGGTTGAAAAAATAGTAGTGCGCACTACTATTACAGAAAATACGGTATCTTCCTATTTCTTTCTATATATCAAAATACATTATATATCTTTTTATTATGATTTGAAAATAGTACGCCAATATACTTAGAGACGGTAGCAAATAGTTAAGAACGAACACTTCTCATGGCAGCTCCTACACTTCGGAACCTCGATCTCATTCACCAAAACATAGCCACGTCCAGACGGGTCCATTTCGAGGCTATCACTTGAAAGAATTTCTAGAAGTGAATTGATATGAATAGTTGAGGATCCTTCTAACCAGATAAATAGTAGGCCGGTGTCGGATTCTCGGAACAGTTCACTGAATGATTGCATCCCTCTCTTTGACTTTGGTTCCACTTTTTCGCATAATAACACACCAAACAGGTGGGACTCCAGAACGCCGGGCATCGGCCATGTTGCGGAGATTTCGGGGTGCCGACTGATTTGCTGACTGGAAAGGAGTGCAATTCCAGGCGCAGCTACATTTCCCACAGATTATTCATTTACTCAACGGCCATTTTCACCAGATTTCATTTCCGTAACAGCCCATTTTCCAATCGAAACTTGTGAGAAGGAGTGCTACGGAAAACTTATGGAAACAAATTTCTCGAAACTCAAATTCGAAAGAATAAAATATAAAAGCGATCCAGTGAAAATGAGCGTTTTGAAATGAAATCTATGAAATCTTATCTCTTGTCTCAAAGATTCAAGTAAAAGGTCACATGGTCGGGACAATTTAGCGATTTGAACACGATTCTTTGAATGAAAGCTCACATGGTGTGTAGTAGTCGGGACAATTTAGCGATTTTGAACATGATTCTTTGAGTAAAAGCTCACCTGGTATGTAGCAGTTGGGACAATTTAGCGATTTTGAACACGATTCTTTGAAAATGGCCGTTTTGAAATGAAATCTATGAAATCTTATCTCAAAGATTCAAGTAAAAGCTCACATGATGTGTAGCAGTCGGGACAATTTAGCGATTTTGAACATGATTCTTTGAAAATGGCCGTTTTGAAATGAAATCTATGAAATCTTATCTCTTGTTTGTCCCCCACCCCCAAAGATTCAACTTTTCAAGTTTCAAATCCAATTCAATTCAATTCAATTCAATTCAATTCAAATAAAAGCTCACATGGTGTGTAGCAGTCGGGACAATTTAGCGATTTTGAAAACGATTCTTTGAAAATGACCGTTTTGAAATGAAATTTAGAAGGGATGCAACGAAAAAGAAGGAAATAAAAGAAGAGAAAGAAGGGAAAAAGGCAAGAAGAAAAGGAGAATGAAGGAGGTAAAGCTCGACGAATGCAAGTAAAGTTTTTGTGTGCAAGTGACCATTCTGTGGACTTCAACTTCAATGCAACTTCAATGAAATCTTATCTCTTGTTTGTCCCCCACCCCCCAAAGATTCAACTTTTTCAAGTTTCAAATCCAATTCAATTCAATTCAATTCAAGTTCAAAGCTCACATGGTGTGTAGCAGTCGGGACAATTTAGTGATTTGAACACGATTCTTTCAGACATTTCCGCATGAAATCAATTGAAACGTTCGGAATGCTTGAAAGAGTCTCTAAATGAAAACAACTTGAAAATCAAATTAAAGCAAGGAAATCAAAATAGCAAGGAAATCAAAATATTCTTTTTTTGAAGTCACATAACGCGAATTTGATTTATTATGCAGAAGAAATCAAAAAATTTCATCAATTGAACGCTTTTGAGTGAGTAAGTGAATGAAAAAACAAGTTGAAACCGGTGAAAAAAAGGCAAAAACACTCTTAACATAAAAAGCGATCAATCCGATGAGAGAAATACAATGAAATTTGGAGAGACACAGAAAGGGAATACCCTAAAAAAAAGAGGTGAAACTAGCACCCAAAGAATGAACTTGTGATCAATGAGTTTATAGGAAATCGCTCTATGAGAGGCTTTCCTGTAGCTGTGGATTTGTTCAGAATGACGAGATCGCCAAGAAATTCTTGTTTTCACTGTTCACATCGAAATTCTGGCTCGTAGCTACGCGTAGCCCTTTTGGAGAGTCTGAAAAGAAAGCTTTCGGGTTTTGGTTTGTTTCAAATTCTCAGATCAGTCTAGGGTCATTTGTGCAATCTAAAACTCATTGCAATGCATCGTTTTGCCGCAAAAGGAAAAAGAGGACAGAAGCGAAAGAAGGCCGAAAGAGAATACACCGCTTACGTAGTGAGCGTAACAAAAAAATTTCCTCTTATTCAAATTCATGAAGTTACCAAAGAGAGTCACAGTTTGCAAGAGGGAAGGTGAGAATGGAAGTGAATGGAAAATCGACAACCTGTCTGGTACATCATTTTATAGATCCGAGTAGTCGATTGGTCACAGAGTTCTTCATAAATTCATGTCCCCGCTGCTCTAATCAGAATTATATTGCTCTAGTAGCGCGGCGAGAGCAATATAATTCAATTGTAATTAGCTTTTTGAGTCAATTGCACTAGCAAAACATTGTCTTTTTGTCCGTAAAAGCCCATTTTCAACCTCTGAAAAGCCTGTTGTGAGAAGTTTTCTAATGTCAGAGTGAAAAAAGATCATCTTGTTAGCTTTTTCTCAAGTTCTTATGAACTGTTCTTAAGTCTTTTCAAAGTTTAGATAACCAAAATCCTACAGAGCTTGGAAGAATCTAATAGTAATGCCTGCCTGCCATTACCTGCCAATGAGAGATTACACATTCACATCTACAAAAATAACATCATTTCTTTTCATTTTAAAACCGGCCACTCCAGTTCACACGGTGGAACGTCCCTACGGCACAAAACCACAGCTTTCTAGGAGGCTTTGGTAGCGTTTTAATGTCTATAGATACATTTTTCCAAAAGATTACTGTTTGATCAACAATTGGATAAAGATCTGGTAGCTTGCTATTAGACTGTTGTAACTTTTGTAGAGTACTGTAACTGGAGTAAGATTGGATTACAGTAGATTGGATGCAATAGATTGGATACAATAGATTGGATACAATAGATTGGATACAATAGATTGGATACAATAGATTGGATACAATAGATTAGATAAAGTAGATTGGATACAGTAAATTAGATACAGTAGATTGGATGCAATAGATTGGATAAAGTAGATTGGATAAAGTAGATTAGATAAAGTAGATTGGGTACAGTAGATTGGATAAAGTAGATTGGATAAAGTAGATTAGATAAAGTAGATTGGGTACAGTAGATTGGATAAAGTAGATTGGATATAGTAGATTGGATATAGTAGATTGGATAAAGTAGATTGGGTACAGTAGATTAGATACAGTAGATTAGATACAGTAGATTAGATACAGTAGATTGGATACAGTAGATTGGATACAGTAGATTGGGTACAGTGGATTGGATAAAGTAGATTGGATAAAGTAGATTGGATAAAGTAGATTCGATAAAGTAGATTGGATAAAGTAGGTTGGATACAGTAGATTGGATACATTAGATTGGATGCAATAGATTGGATAAAGTAGATTGGATATAGTAGATTGGATAAAGTAGATTGGATAAAGTAGATTAGATACAGTAGATTGGATACAGTAGATTGGGTACAGTGGATTGGATACAGTAGATTGGATTTTCAAATGCGTCGGTCAAATACTTATACAGCTGGATACCCAATGCTGTGCTAGTAAATACTATTTACAAAAAAAATTTATTTGATTCATCAATAAATTATTAATATGCCCATCAATTGCGAAAACAATTCATTTGGTTTTGATGAAACACTCTTGTCTGCCGCTTTTCGTTGTCCAACAGCCAAATCCGCTAGGACAAGCAACGCCAAGAGAGGCTGGAATTTAAAAATACAATCTGGCAAAGACAGAGATTCAATTTTTTACACGAAAGCTGATTGTGCTTTCTGGAAACTTACGCCCGACTGATGCCAGAGTGATCGGTGGACAAAGTTGCATTGTGACAGCCTGAAAGTTTTCTGCTTAATGCTTTTCTGGATAATTTTTTGTATATTTGATCTTGCGATTGATAAACATTAGATAAACTCGCAGTTTCTCCTGAAATTCAAAAACGATCAGAACAAACCTGGAACAAAGAAATGGAGGCAAGGAGGAGACCAAACAAAATAGATTTGAACATGTTGACGAGATTTTAGAACAAATGGATTGCTTTGAATTGATGGCAAAACGTTTCTCTTTTATACTTTTAGCAGCGTTATTTTAAAGCTTTTTTCTAAATGATTTTTGCAGATCATCGAAATGGAATTCGCATTTGAAATTTAATGAAATCACAAATTCCTCAACCAGAAATATCGGCTTTTTTCAAAAACTCAATGAAAATTTTTGTTGGTCTGATAAATGGTTAAAATGATCAATCTAAAATGATCAATCAATCTAAAATGATCAATCAATCTAAAATGATCAATCAAATCTTACAATTAGATTAGAGTTTTAGTGCTATTGTAAACTAGATTTATCAAAGTACATTCTTTAAGGCCGTTCAGAAAGTCTTTTCATTCCTTTTCGTACTTTTGTTGAAAAATAACAAATTCCCCAATTAACCTATGGTTAACCGAAGTAAAAAGTGTTTATTGTTCAATTTCCCAACTTTTTAAGTCAATTTCGGTTCACTTTCAAGCAAATTCGAGAGCGAAAACATGGCTTATATTAGGCTGTCTAGAGAGTTTTTCGTTTTTTTTTTTTGTATTTCCGTTTAAAACCAACAAATGCACCAATTGAACTACGGCTTACTTTATTAAAAAGGGCAGTTATTTTTCTGCAAAACAACATTAAAACGTGTTTAAAATGTCTCATATCTCGATTTTTTGGGAGCCTGAAGTCGGGTAGTCAAAAAGAGCGATGGCTCGATGCTGTAGACGCTTTAGCTTTAGAAAGACGCACTTTCGCTAAGAAAACCTATCTTGGTGTCAATAGATAAAAGATAGAGCACAACAAGTTTGGTATATCGCTAAATTTTCAGAGAAATTGATTCAGTCGATTTCTTCGTAGAGGTTTTTATAGATTTTTATAGATTTTATGAAAAACACCTAGATTTTTTATAGATTCCACTCTCGAATTTTCTTAAAGGTAAACCAAAATTGACTTAAAAAGATGGGAAATTGAACAATAAACACTTTTTATTTAGAGCAAACCATAGGTTCATTGGTGAATTTGTCATTTTTCAACGGAAGTCAAAGCTGCGACATATATGGCTGTTGCGCTTAATGCATCTTTTTGGTTTTCTAAGAAAATATTGGGTTGGGGAGAATGAGTCGGCGCCAAACTTTAAAGGGACTTTTTGCACACATAAAGCCTTCTTTAAACATACGTTTGGTTTCATCAAAAGGATCCACTATTTTTCTACAAAATGACTTTTGAGAGATTCCACAAAGCTTTTCTTTCGTGGAGCTTATGAACTTCCAAACGCAGCTGGTTAAAATGGCAAAGAGTCCGACTCATCATTTGAACAGTTTCTTTCCCATAAACCTTCTTTGGTGTTTATATAAAAAAGATAGAGCACATTCAATTACTTAAGTTGCCAAATTTGCAGGAAGATCCCGCCAATGGTTTTTTCTAGATGACAGTTTGTAGTTTTTGTGAAAAAATGGCTTTTTCTTGAGCGGAGGCGCTGTTTGAATTTTCTTTTAAATGTGATTTTGTAGAGAATTAGTTAACCATTCTACTCATATCAAACGCATATTATTTGACGAAGTCGAATAGAAGTTTTAGACATTTTTTTGATTTTCGGCGCCGACTCATTCTCCCCAACCCAATACATTAACTTCAGCTGAAAAACAACAATTAATCATAAGATCTACGGGTATTTTTACATAGAATAGAAAAATCGTAACATTTTTAATGATTTTGACATCTCTAGCCAAGCAGTACAAAAAACGCTATGCGGTACGATGCTAAAAAACAGTTAAATTCGAGTTTGGTGTTTCTAAAAAATCATCTTTTTCCGTCTTTTACTGCATTAATACGTTTTTAAGGTTAATTACTAAAAAAGTAGTGCTATAAAAGAATATAATTATATTAATTAATTACTATAAAGAACGAAAAGACGATCTGGACAGCCTATTAGAATTGGGCGAACTGGACAGCCTAATAGAATTCATTTTCTTTGAATGGACATTCTTGTTTCATCTCTCATACTGTAGACTCACTTAGATGGAGATTTATTGTAGAAAAAAGACTTCTACAAGCTCTCAAGTAGTGAATCATCTTGTGTAGTCAAAGAAAGTAAAAGTTGTGGAAATCAGCAAAGAATCAAGTGGTCACCGTTCTTTCAATGAAGATCAAGGAAAAGTTATGCAAAGTGAGTCACAGCTAAAGAGATTGCTTCAAGTGAAAGTGAATGTACTTGAAGAACCCTTGAAAAGCTGAATGTGGCAGAGAAAACGGGCCTCTTTGGAAGCTTCTTTGGAAGCTCGGTGGAATTGGAATTGGAAGATTAGAGAAGTTGATCATTTGATTGATCATTCATTGGAAGATTAGAGAAGTTGATCAAGCTAAGATTGCTCCAAGTGAATCAAGAAGAGATTGCTTCAAGTGAATGTACTTGAAGAACCCTTGAAAAGCTGAATGTGGCACTTATTTCTTATTCTTGTGGCAGAGAAAACGAGCTTCTTTTATTGGAAGATTAGAGAAGTTGATCAAATGCCTTTTTGAATTTTTCTTATTTCTTGTCACATTGGTTTCATTTTTTTTAAGTTAAAGGCTTTGAGGCTCAAAGAAAGGCTCAAAGGCTCAAATTTTTCAATCGTTTTTCTCTATTTTGTTCAATTCTTTTGACCTTGCAAATCCTAAACAAACAAGAAAGAAAATGAAAGCTTGTTCAAGACTTGTTGCATAGATTTTTCACTAAATATCTTGTTCAGTTGTAGATTCAAATTTTCAGTTTATTCATGAAATGATTCTCCGATTACTCTTTTACATTATTTTCTTTTTCAACTCTTCGCAATCTTTCGAGAAATGTGATCTCGGCGCTTCAGATGTGAGTTTTCCCAGTAATAAACAAACAAAATAATAAACAACTTAAACTTAAGCTTAAACTTAAGCTTAAACTTCAACTTAAGCCTAAACTTAAGCCTAAACTTAAGCTTAAACTTTACCTTAAACTTATACTTAAACTTATACTTAAACTTAAACTTATACTTAAGCTTAACCTTAACCTTAAGCTTAACCTTAAACTTAAACTTAAACTTATACTTAAGCTTAACCTTAACCTTAAACTTAAACTTATACTTAAGCTTAAGCTTAAACTTAAACTTAGGCTTAACTTTAACCTTAAGCTTAAGCTTAAACTTATACTTAAACTTAAGCTTATACTTAAGCTTAAACTTATACTTAAACTTAAGCTTAAGCTTAAACTTAAGCTTAAACTTAAACTTAAACTTAAGCTTATACTTAAACTTATACTTAAACTTACTTAAATACTTAAACTTAAGCTTAACCTTAACCTTAAACTTAAGCCTAAACTTAAGCCTATACTTAAGCTTAAACTTTACCTTAATCAGTAGAATCTAAAAACCCATTTAGGTGTTATTTGTTTTAAACGCTCGTTATGATCTCCCAGAAAATGGTTTCAATGAAATGAGAGGGCTCATAAAAGAGTTTATTGGTACACTGGATATGGGAAGAACGTCACATGTAAGAATCCTTAAAATATTGTAATTCTTGTAACTCATTAGTGACAGAAGACTTGTGACAGAAGACTTTAGCAAACTCGTGTCGGTGTTGTTACCTATGATGGCTTAAACGATCCAGAGTACAAGATTCACCTTGATGCGTATGGAAGAGCGGCTGATGCACAGATTGCTATTGATCAGGGAAGCGCCAAGCTCAGCAATTAAGCTGTCCAGAAAGTCTTTTTTGCTGTAAAACTGAAGCGAACAACTGAAAATACTGACTCAAATTTTCCAGTTGTGCGTCGTCGTTTCCATATTTTTCATCAAGATCAGCTATTGGAAAGTTGATTCTCAATAAGCTAAACATTGATCCACAAATAAAAGGCTTAAAGAACTGCCTCCCTAGCATTAATATCTATTGACACCAAGTTTTACGATTCACGCTCCCAAAAAATCGAGATATGAGACATTTTAAACACGTTTCAATGTTATTTTGTAGCAAATTAATTGGCCTTTCTAATAAAACAAACCGTAGTTCAATTGGTGCATTTGTTGATTTTAAATGGAAGTACGAAAAGGAACCAAAAGACTTTCTGGACAGCCTAATATAAGCCATTTTTAGATAGCCCGGACACCATGCGGCACTTGGTGCCAAGAACAGCCACATCTCACTTCTAGTCAGGTTTGACGTCACTTCTAGTCAGGTTTGCGCATCGGCAACAGCAAAACGAATTTCAGGCTGTTGAGGCATCAGTGAGCGTCTTTATCAACGAGTCGACGGTGATTAGAATGAAAAAAATCGTCCAGATCCATTATGGTCAAGTGGAACAAACGGTAGAGTCTTAAAATAAAACCAAAATTTGTTTTTCCAGGACTTGGACCGTGTTCAAATCTTGGCTCAACGGGATCCGTGGTTGAAAATTGCGCAGATCATTGTACATACCGGTTTGCTAGATAAAAATGATTGACTAGAAGCTAAATTTTAGGAATGTTGGCGAGAGATGATCCTTACAATGAATACCTCCAAGCCTACTATCAACCGTATGAGCGCTACATCGGGCGAATGCAGCAAATGTTCCCCAACGCAACAATGCCTCGCTTTAGACGACAATATGATTCCGATCAATTCAAATTGCCGTTTGAGAAAAAAGTTGACAATGGAGTGATCACTTTGAAAGAGTTTCTAAAGAAGTTTTTCTTTTTATCGAAATTCTAGTTTTTCCCAACTTCACTCATTGAGCAAGGACGTTTGTGGGGAGATTTTTGCGTGTCCTCCATGTGATGAGAGCTCTTCACCAAATACTAGTCAAAGTGTGAGTTGGGAATTGTCTGAAATCAGAGAATATATTGATCCCTAGCAATTTAACTATTTAAAAAGGCTATAATTTCTCTAAGAAGTCTATAATTTCTCTAAAAAAGTCTATTATTTCTCTAAGAAGTCTATAATTTCTCTAAGAAGTCTATAATTTCTCTAAGAAGTCTATAATTTCTCTAAGAAGTCTATAATTTCTCTAAGAAGTCTATAATTTCTCTAAGAAGGCTCTTGAGAGAAAGCCCAAAGCTCCTATCAACTCGTTAAAAATGCATTTTTGATGAATTTTTTGATCCTTTTCAATTGCTGTTTTAAAGAAAATGGCTGAATAGATCGCTTTCAAATTTTGCAAACTTATGTAATCAAATAAGCTCTATCTTTTTTACTTTGACATCAAAATAGGTTTTTATTGAAGAAAGTGCTTGACGGCAATGAGAGTAAGGTAGCTGGGGCACGCTATGAAGCGACTAAATTGCGACAAGCATCGGAGCCTTTAAGCCTTTGAAAATCCACAAAAACAACTATTTCCAAGAATTCCCAAAAAGCCATTTTGCAGAGAAACAATTAATCTTTTTAATAATTCAAATAGAAATCCTGTTGGTGCGACATTATTTAAAACATTTATTGTTTGTATTGAAGAAAGGGTTCAAATTGTGACTTCAGCATTTGCATTTGACTTCAGCTTCAGCAGTTTTGGGTGCTCCCCTTTGCGCATTTGAAAATCCACAAAAACAACAGGAATTAGGCATTGCTTGCTTTCATTGCTAGAAGAATTTTAATTCTGAATGTTGATCTGAGTTTTCATAGAAGACAGATGATTTCCCAAAGACATTTTGCAAAGAAATAACCAAGTTTAACCAAGAAATAACCAAGCTTTTTAACAGTTTAAATAGAAATTTGGTGGCATTATTTTTAGTGGCTTTTTAAAAGGTTTGTAAAGCAAAAAATTGTAAGGACTTATGCACCAACTTAATAGTAAAATGTATGTGTTCTGGAAACGAAAGCTCACCGGGAATTTGTACCTTTCCCTAGTTAGTCCAACAGTCCAACAGCTCTTCCAGAGTCTGAGTGAGAATACGAATTCTGGAGAGGCCAATGATGGACATGGACATTCAACTTCATCCTCTTCCTCTTCCTCTTCCTCTTCCCCATCTTCTTCAGCAAAAATCGGTGATTATGAATACGAGATCACTGGGGATCCACCAGGCTGTTTGTTTAGCTCAAAATTCTATCAAAAAAAAATTGACTTAGTGGTGATTAACGCAAGCCCAGCCTCCAAAAAGCACAAGAAGGAAAGTCGAAGTACTTTGGGAGAAGAAAGTGAAGAGACAACAACAAATCAAGCAGCTGATTATGATTTGGAGGATAATGCAATCAACGAGACACCGAAATCAAGAATCTCGAAAGATTTCGAGCTCGACTTTAGTGAAAATGAGAGCAGTAGAAAGGTGAGAAAGTCTGTGAAGAGAAGCCGAGTGAAGAGAGAAGTCTTGTCACAAGAACAATGCGTTTGCCCAAGATCGAAAGGTGAGTTGGAACTGGGCATTGCTTGCTTTCATTGCTAGAAGAATTTGAATTGATCTGAGTTTACAGAGAAGACAGCTGATGGTTGTTCTGGATCTCAATCGTCTGGTGGTTGTGGTGGAAATCAAATGCCAGAGATCCAGTACTCTTATGATCCGATGGGAAACGGTAATAATGAAAAATTTAACACTGATATGTCTAAAAATCGATCTTACTAGGGGCCCTACAGCAATTTTTAGGCCCTCCAGCAATTCCTCCAAATTGCCCGGGAATGGTTGGGCCATGCGGCCAGCTATCGATGTCTTCACCTTGTGGATCTCCATGCGAAATGAATCAGATCCGATACAGTGGATATGGTAGTCAAAATAAAGCTACTCCTAAATTATTCAGGATTCAGGCTCATACTATCAACAACCAATTGGCCCTTGTGGTCAAATAAGTACTGGATGTCAGCAACAAGCGACCCAGTACTATTCACCTTGCTCCGGAGGATGTCAACAGCCACAAGTAAGAATTTGAAGCCTTTGAAGCCTTTGAAGCCTCAGGATGAATCATTGCTAATTCTTTTTCAGGGCTGGTACTACCCGTATGATCGAACACCATTAGCTCCAGCTCCACCCGAGGAAACTTCATTCAGTGAAGATGAGAAGAAACCGCAAACTGCTCCAAAGAAGCTAATCCCGATCGATTCCGTTGATCGACCTGAAGCACCTCCGGTTCCAGATCGTAAGCTTATACAATACAAAGTTTTTCAACTGTTTCACAAAGCAAATGAATATCAAAAAAGATTTTCTGATTGAGAAAGCAATTTGCAGCAAAAATATTAGGCTTTCCAGAAAATCTTTTCGTTTCTTTTCGTAATTCCGTTGAAAAATAACAAATTCACCAATTAACCTATGATTTGCTCTAAATAAATAGTGTTTATTGATTAATTTCCTACCTTTTTAAGTCAATTTTGGTTCACTTTCAAGCAAATTCGCGAGTGACAAACCTGTTACTCGTAGAAATCTATAAAAACCTCTACGAAGAAATTGACTGAATCAATTTCTCTGAAAATTTAGCTATATACCAAACTTTTTGTGCTCTATCTTTTATCTATTGACATCAAGATAGGTTTCCTTAGCTAAAGTGTCCACATCATCGAACCGTCGCTCTTCTTGACTACCCGACTTCAGGCTCTCAAATAAACCCGGACATAAGACATTTTAAACCCGATTTGATGTTATTTTGAAGAAAAATAATTGCCTTTTCTAATGAAACAAATCGTAGTTCAATTGGTGCATTGGTTGGCTTTAAATGGAAGTACAAAAAAAACGAAAAACTTTATGGACAGCCTAATACGTACCCTAGCCATTCTCAATAAGCTAAACATTGATCCACAAATAAAAGGCTTAAAGAACTGCCTCCTCAGCACCAATAAAGCTACATTGCTCAAAACTTTAATAGAACAAAACAAATGATCGCGAAGGGCACTCGAGTGACCATGGCTTAGGCTTAGGCTAGGTTGGGAGACAAAAAGAGAGAATAGAGTATAGTGTTCTCTAGAAAAGAGTAGTTCTTATGGGTTACTGTGGTGAAATCTCGAAGTTTTAATTCCAAAATGAATTGAGCTTCATATTTTGTCGTCTTTACCCGCTTTCCTTGCTTTTTGGGCCCCCAGGGGAGCGCTTCCAAAAATTTAGACATTGTCTTGAACCGTCGCACCCATGGTTGGGCTGTGGACGAGGCAAAGACGAGGCAGAGCGCCAGCCTCCGCCTCGTCTCGAGGGCAGGAGAGCCAGGCGAACACCACCCCCTTCCGTGGGTTCACTTCCAGATCACCATGGAATCAAGTTTCAGCAGATCTTCGAAATGACCGATGAGGAAGTCCTTTAGGTACTTTAGGAACGAGTTATAAGGAAAAGATGTGCGCCAGATGAGGTCCGATTACGTGGAGATGAAAATTTTCATGCTTATAAGAATCTATTTCACGGTACTATTCTGTTATACCTCTCCACTCGAACACACGAGGAAGTGAAGTACGGAAAAAGATTTTTCATCCATGGCGAAAAGGACTTTGACTTCAAAACGCATGAGAAAAATAGTGAAGCATGAAAAGGAACGAAAAGAAGCTTTATAGCTTTCTGAACAGCTTTATACTTCTGCTAAAAACTGTTTTTTCTTTTGGAAAGATTCAGAAAATCGGTTTTTATATTCATTTGCTTTGTGAAATAAAGAAGCAAAGATATATTAATGGGCTACTGTAATGAGGCAAGGATAGTCATTATCTTAGAAAGAAAGTAGAACAATTTAGCTTGGCGCTGAAGCCTTTTGCTAGTTAAACAGTCAAAAATCTTGCTCAAACAAGACAATTTTCAGCTAAATCATCCGACTTGACGTCAACTTTCAACAATTTTTTCAAAAACACCGAGAAAACCGATCAATTTGTGCAAAAGCCACGGAGTATCAGTGAAAACATTGCTGAGGACACCAATGAAGTGGCAAAATCTATTGCTGAGGTAAATTGGCTTCTCAAATTCTAAAATCCAACAATCTAGCTGAGCACTGATGCTCCATCTGAAGAAAGTTATGCAAAGATGCACGGGAAACCGACTCAAAACGAGATTCGACCGATTCAACAAAGTACTTACAATTAGACTACAATTAGACTACAACAAAACGCTTAGATTTGACCAATCTCTGACTTTTTTTGTGTTTAGGAAGTGTGAATCCATTTCCAATCCCTCTCTTCCAATCCCTCGATTCCAAGCCACCAGCGCTAGACAATCTTCTCTCAAACATTGTCTCTGCTAAAAGCTATCAAGATTATATGGATGGGAGCACAACAGGTAACTTATCTGTTCAGTTTTAAATGAGAGAAATTGGCTCTTGACCGAAATTTGGGCATTTTGTTGCTTAAGCCTTGATATTATTGTACATTTTGAAAAAGAAATTGGCTCAAAAATCACGAGCCCCGCCTTATATACAAGCTTTCATCGCCGCTGCCTTATATACGGCCTTTCACCGCCGCCGCCGCCTTATATACGGCCTTTCACCGCCGCCGCCTTATATACAACCATTCACCGCCGCCGCCTTATATACGGCCTTTCACCGCCGCCGCCTTATATACAACCATTCGCCGCCGCCGCCTTATATACGACCTTTCACCGCCGCCGCCTTATATACAAGCTTTCGCCGCCGCCGCCTTGATCAGCAAAATTCTCGGATTTCGATCAAGAGCCGATAAATTCAGTTCATCCGACGTTAACTAGCTGGTCAACTACTATGTCTGTTAATCCAGAAATAAAACCAAAATTGGAAAGACAATCTGTCATTCGAAAGTATTCCGGTCGATCACCGATCAAGCCGCAAAAAGCTTTGAGGAAAGTGGATACAGCAGAGGGTGAAAGTCTGGAAGTAATCAAGGAAAGTCATGCAGGTGAATAAGAATTTATTAAAACTTAGAAGATATTACTAGATTTATAGATAATACGTTATTATCTAGATAATCTAGATAAGGTATTATTCAGATAATCTAGATAAGGAATTATCTAGATAATCCTAAAAAATATCTTCTTAATGCACTTTTAGTCAACTCTGTGAAGCTCCCACCGCCCACTCGAGAATCGATCGTTGAAAATATGGCTCTAGAGAAGTCAAGGACTGCAATTGCGCTGGAAAGGGTTAGGAAACGACTTTGAAATAAGAATTCTGAATTCTGATTGTTTTTTTTGAATGCTTTTAACCTAATAAGCTTTTATTTTGTTTACTTTGTCACTAAAATCTGCACTATTTCAGGGAAATCGAAGCAAACGACAAGTTTCTAAGCAGAGAGGAATTACTCAAACAAATAACAGGTTTAAAAGAAGAATGTAAAATAAAATCTGAAATAGGAAACGAAATACGAAATCAAAATGTGTGATTCGTGGAGTCGATCTGGCCGTCTACTTGGACGATTCTTCGGCAATGAGCCAAGAATCATTTGATATCTCAAAACTCTTTCTCAAAGAATTGCACAAAATGATGGAAAAGAATCTAGAAAAATGTGAAATGGTAAAGTTTTAAAAGTTTTCAACATTTTCAACATTTTCAACGTTTTTGTACCATTTTCTTGCTAGATTTCACGGATCACAGTTCTCAGCAACACTGCTGGTGGTGGTGTTCGTAGTAGCACTCTGTTTGATGTTCATGCTTCGAAAAAACTCTTTGGTTTGTGTTTTTAACAATAAAAAGTTCAAATCAAATTTCTAGATTCAAATATTGACTCGATTAAACATGCAAAATGTAATCTTCGAGAAGAGAAGTGTTCGATGAGCATATTTGAGGTGATCTTAACTTGAACTTGGGTAACTCAACCGAGAATTCAGGCCTATATAGCGGCTACAGATATTCTGACAGAAGAGAAGACTGACAGGAAAAAGGTTTGTGAAGCAGTTGATAGGAATTGTTGAACTCTTTACCAGCCTTAAAGCTTCCAAGTGTACTTTGTCCTTTCTGGCTTAACAAACTTAACAAACAAGACTTGCTTTACTCGGGTATTTCCCTCTCCTTCTTCCTTTCTTTCTTCTTCCTTTCTTTCGTCTTCCTTCCTTTCTTCTTCTTTCTCTTTCTTCTTCCTTGTCTTTCCCATTTCTTCTTGGGCAAAGAAGGCAATAGCTCAGTGGTCGAGCATCTGCCTGGTAAGCAGAAGGTCGGTTCAATTTCCCCTTGGTTCCAAAGTCTTTGCCATTCATTTCTTTACTTTATTAAGTCTTAGATTACAGTTTATCTAAAAGAACACCAATTTCAGGTTCTCCTTGTCATGACTGAACGAAATCCCAAGCAAATCCTTTCAATCCGCTACTCACTCATGAGAGCGATGAACTACGCCGAGAAAAACGGAGTACTCGTCCATTTCTCTGGGACACCGCTTGGTAAGTGAACTGAAAAAAGAAGTCATTCTGATAGTTTAACAATCATGAAACGATTTTGTTTGAATTCGGTTAAATCTTCGATATAAAAAGTGTCTTTTTGAGGCTTTTGATAACGGTAGGCTAGGTCCAATTTTGAAAATGGTTTAATTTCTTTGAAAATGGTTCAATTTCTTTGAAAATTGTCTTGAAAATGGTCAGAATTTCTTTGAAAATCGTCCAATTTCTTTGAAAATCATCCAATTTCTTTAAAAATTGCCCCATTTCTTTGAAAATCGTCGAATTTATTTGAAAATCATCCAAATTTCCTTGAAAATCATCCAAATTTCTTTGAAAGTCATGGGATTGCTTTGAAAATCATCCAATTTCTCTGAAAATCATCCAATTTCCCTGAAAATAGTTCAATTTCTTTGAAAATCGTCGAATTTATTTTAAAATCATCCAAATTTCCTTGAAAATCATCCAAATTTCTTTGAAAATCGTGGGATTGCTTTAAAAATCATCCAATTTCTCTGAAAATCGTTCAATTTCTTTGAAAATCATCGAATTTATTTTAAAATCATCCAAATTTCTTTGAAAATCGTGGGATTGCTTTGAAAATTGCCCGATTTTTTTCTGAAATGACTCTTCTAGATAAAAAGAGGTTTCGAAGATGCAAGTTTTCAAAATCGGGCGTTACATGCTTTCAAAAACTTTTCAGATCCAATGTCTCTACTCCGAGTCAGCTCTTTCTTCTCTCCACTCTTTCCCAATTTCCAGAATATCTACCCAGAATACATTTGCGATCAATTGACTGTCTCCGATGATCAGCTGATTCTAAAGAAAAACTATTGTCCAAAGAAAAATTCGATTATTAATTAGAAAAATTCGATTATTTATTAGAAAAATTCGATTATTGATTAGAAAATTCGATTATTTATTAGAAAAATTAGCTAATTTATTACAAATAAACTTTAAAATGCTTTTGATTTGATGCTAAATGCAAAAAAAGTTTGATGCAAATCCAATTTGTCATTTTGTGATTCGCCGGAAACGTTTCAAGGCCCTTTCTTAGCATTTTTGGCTTGGCTTTTTGTACTTTTTGATTTTAATTTTCAATAAAACTAGCCTTAACTTTTATTCTAAAGCACTATTTTTTTGTAATGAAACTCAAATTGAATTGAATTGAATCAAATTGAATAAAAAATGAATCCAAGTCAGGTTGAAGCAGTTTTTTCTCTATGTTTTTAAAGAGAATTTCTCAAAAAAATCAACTTTGAAACATCAAAAATCGATATTCTGTTACTTTATATTCCACATTTTCACCATTTCCCGTATTTTTGTTTAGTTAAAGGTGTCAAGAGCTCTTTTTCTTCAGCTCCCCCGTCAGCGCTCCTTGATTTATGCATAAGCGAGCGAGGAAATGAAGGGGTGAGCCTTGTGTCGATAGAAAGCAAAAAAAAAGTAATTACATTTTGCAAACAAACCTCAAAAAGTAGCTAAAGTTATAAGAAAAATTATTCATTTGGAAATTTTGTTACTTTTGTTGTTGAAGTCGAGCTGTAGAGCTTGTTCTTAGCAATAATTGTTTTGTAGCTTGTTAGCCGAATATCTTGTGTTAAAGCGTCTATAAGGCGACTGTTATTCATTTGATGTGATTTACTTTTTTCTGTTTTCTTTTCATCGTGTGAAAGCTATTTCCTAATTGGGATGAAATTGTTTCTGTTTTTATCGTCGCTTTTAATTCAATTGTCGATTTTGTGTGAAAATTGCTCAAGTGAGAGCCCAAAAATACCGAGTCAGTCGGCTATTGAATAAAGTGTCTTAGTTCAAGTGAGATCAGATATCTCGAAATAAGAAATAACGTGTCTTGAGTGAAGAGTACCAAGCACGCAAGAATATTTCTTTACACACAGTGCTAGATATGTTTTCCCATTCATCTGGCTGTGGCTGATAATTCAGTAGACCGAAAACTATTATAAAGCTAGTACTCGTAGATTTTTAGGGATAATGGCGAGGAGAAGATGATGTAAATTAGCATACAAGCGCGTGGTGGGAGGAAGTAGACGGAAGTACACCTAATTCTTTTCGATAAAGTCTTGGGTGGAGCTTCTGCTCTTCTATTCCTCTTCTACAAAACGAAGGCTCTAAGGGAGTGTCGGGTTCGATTCACATCCGTTCCAAACTTTTTTTTGATTTAAATGTTTTCAAGCATGGAGTTGAAGTATGCAATTTCATTTACTTTGCAGCGAAGGTCTTACAGGGGGCTCGGAGGGGCGCTCGGCGCGAGGTTAGTCGCGCCGAGCGACTAACTTCGCGCCGAGCCGAGTCACGCAAAGAATATTTCTTTACAAACTTGAGTTGATAAAATTCTCTAGTCAAAAGTACTTACCGACCAGAGTCCTAAATCCTTTCTTTTAAGTTGTGTTTCCATGAAATTAACGAAACTTTTTCACGGATTAGTTGGTTAAAGTTTAGATTAGTTTTGATCAGCTTGGCCAAAGTTTGATCAACTAATCAAGTGATAGAGTAGGAAACATTTACCGTATTTTCTCTAATAGTAGTGCACCGAGTTGATGCCGAGTTGATGGCTATTTTACGGTTTCCAAGCTTTCGCAGAAGCTCAACACTCTAATCCCCCACTAGATCTCATCGTCAGCCACATTTTCCGACCCCACATCGATAGGTTCTGATAAGCGGTTCTCGAGATTTCGAGCAATTTAAGCGACGCTCAGGATGCACTACTATTAGAGAGAAAACGGTATAATTTTGATTGTTGATAGGCATAGCTTTTTTGCTATTTCTTTGCTTTTTTCACTATTTATTTGCTATTTGTACTCGAATTCTCAAGCTTTCTAAGAAGAAAAAGCATTTGATATCTTTTTATTCACACAGCAAAGAGAGGGGAATCCTTTTGAGTCGAGCTGAATTAGCTCAAATTGACAAACGCCATTTCGCGCCCCGTCAAAAGCCTTGTGCCCGAGAAGGCACAAAGCTTTTGGGGAAAATACTCTCCGATTTCAGTTACTCTAACCCTTTTCCCCCCAGTCAATTGTTTTCTTTTCAATTCATCTCAGTTTTCACTCATTAAGTGTTTTCCTGGCTTTTTTCGATTTCCTTTTGTTTTTCTGAAGAAAACATAGCATCTAAATAATTAAAGTGGGACAACAATTAGGGTTTTACCCCAATTCATAAATTCATAGCAAACAGTGCTTCCTATCAGCCCTGATAACTTAATTTTAGCATTCTACCTGCATTTTACCTGCACTTTAAATCAAGTACTAGGTTGCTGCAAAAGAAATTTCGCTTTTTTTTACATTAAAACATTAAAATTTAATGACAGTTTGTGCAATAGATCGGATCTCAAATCCATTTTAACTTAAAACAGTTCCCTATATTAATTATTGGACAACAATTAGGGTTTTGCTCTTCTGCTATCTGATCTAAGCTTTCTCTATGCTAAAGCCGGCCTTTCTATTTAGTTATCAAAATTTTATCTTGTTCATTACAGTGAAATTTCTAAATGATCCTTATCAGCATGAAAATTTTCATGTCATACAAGAAAATAAAGATTATCAATCGATCAATCATCATCAATCAAATATCATCATCATCATCACTCGAAAAACCCTGGGTACAAACTTTTAGCTCTCTAAATTTTTCGAAGCGCTCATCCTTATCTAAATTCTAGGAAGCCGGGGGCCCAGAAAGCAGGGAAAGCGGGTAGGAACGATGCCCGTAAGTCGAACGTATGCCAAAATATGCCCGGAAGTTGAACTCAACAACTTGAACTCAACTCAAGTTGAACTGAACAACTTAAACTTGTTGAACAAGTTCAAGAAGTTTAAGAGACTCAGCTAGGAATGTGTATTAACAAACACAATCTTTTTTGACGAAGCAGCATTTTCTTCAAACTTTAGATAGGAAAAGCCATTAAGTTTGCTTTGAATAAATTGCTCTACGTTGCTCTAAATTTCTAAACGATTCCTATAAGTATGGAGATTTTTATGTCCATGTAATCGCATCGCATCTGGCGCACATCTCCTTATAGCCTGTTCCCGAATCGGCTCTCGACACGGCAAAATATGAAGCTCATTTTGAAATTAGAATTGAACTCTTTTCAGCATAAAAAAATTCATTATGATCGCAGTTTCATCGCTTAAACCAGTAGCTTTTCTTTTTACACTAAATTTTCTTCCTCGTCCGTTTATATACATTTTTTTTGCCTCTACCAATCTTCACAATTTCCCCATGTACCACCGTCAATATCCCAACTTATCCCTCGCTTCCATTCACCTTTCCAGTCTACCAAAGAGGCTTTTCAAGCATTGCCGAGAGCCGATTTCCCGTGAATGTAATCCGATTTGTGAGTGTCGGGAGGAGAAGAGAATTGGATGGATCTCTTGGATTGAAAAGGGAAAAGGTTTATCAAGAGTCCATCCTCATAATAAGCACCTCTTTTCTAGAGAACTACTATTTTTAGCCGCTCTCTTTTTGTCTCCCACGGTCACTCGAGTGCCCTTTGGCGATCATTTGTTTTGTTCTATTAATGTTTTTGAGCAATGTAGCTTTATTGGTGCTGGGATGGCGGTTCAATGCTTCAATGCGGTTCTTCAATGCTTTTATTTCTGGCTTAATCTTTCATTTATTGAGAATTACTAGGAGAAATTTGATCGGACTTTTGTTTCTGAAAATGTGTGCTTTTTTGGAGTACTTATTCATCGTATCTAAACGATTTTGATTTAGAAAGTGAGGAAATTCAGTTCAGAAGAATTTTATTAGCTATAAAATAAAGTTATTAGCTATAAAATAAAGTTATTAGCTATAAAATAAAGTTATTAGCTATAAAATAAAGTTATTAGCTATAAAATAAAGTTATTAGCTATAAAATAAAGTTATTAGCTATAAAATAAAGTTATTAGCTTACTAGCTATAACATAAAGTTCAGTAATGGACAAAGTTTTGCAATTGTCATATCTAAGAGATGAAAAAAACTCTATTTGGAAAGATCGTGGTTTCAAAGAGTCGGCAAAATTCTGTCCAGAGAGAAAACAATCACAACCGCCACACACACTCAATTCCCCGCATGATAGGAAAGGATTTAGGAAGATAAGGACCCGCACTCTCTCTTTCCATTCTTTGAAAGGCATCTGTCCCCGTTCACACCGTTCCACTCTTATTCTCACACTTTACCCCGTCATTCTTGCTTTTTAAATGAATATTTGTAGCTTTAGCTTGCTTCTTTAACAGTGAAAATGCTGGGAGTGGGACAAATGCGACCTTTTTTTGCGCACTCGGGACATTTGCGCACCTTTTCGCCCATTATAACAAGGGCTGCTCTAGACCCATATAATCGTTTTGCTAGATTCCTATTAACGTGTAGTTTTAAAGGATTGGCGCGAAAGCGGCGTGGTGCACTTTCCGAAGCGTGGATACACTAAAAAGTGCGCTAAAAAAGGTGCGCAAATGGCCGGGTGCGCAAAAAAAGGTCGCATTTGTCCCACTCCCAAAATGCTTGCTTGCTTGTTACAGTGAAAATCCTAACAATGTGCGAGATTTAAGTTATCCTGATTCATACTTAAAACTTTCCGAATCTTGTTTCCCATTTACTTCACTCGTCCATCTGAAAACATTCAGACAATTCGACTTTTACTCTGTACTTTAACTTTAACTGAATATCTTTGAGTATGTTTATAAATTAGTACAATAAATTAGTACTATAACTGGAGCCTAGACCGGTAGATTTCATCTGGATGTTCAGAAAGTTTCCTTTTTCTTTCTTTTCGTTTCTTCTCGTTCCTTTTCGTACTTCCGTTGAAAAATAACAAATTCACCAATGAGCCTATGATTTGCTCTAAATAAATAGTGTTTATTGATCA